GCAGGCCATAAGAACACATACAATTTGAAACTACATGTCCAAAGCAAGATATACCTGCCCTGGGCCTACGGGCAGCCTTTTATTTCAAACACTAGAATAAGTTGTGTTTAACGCTGCTTTGAACAGTCTTCTAGTTCTATCACGGCATGTCAGCTTAATGTGGGAGGAAAGCCTGAAGTTATGCACATCTCAAACGTTTACCGCACTCTGATTCGAACCCATGATCCTAAGTTTCTGGCCTGCCCAAGCGACAGCAAACTGCGGCGCCTTAGACGACTGGGCCATCCTGACCCCTGCTACAACACAGCTAAGGTTGTAGCATAACACTGGCATAAAAATAATATGTGTCTTAACATTCTGCTACAATATTCGCAATTTCACACGCAAACTCAGTCATGTTAAAGGGAAGGATTCCATCATTAAGGGGAATGACTACAGGCCAAATAAAAAACAAATCCAGTCGGGGAATTAACCAGGATTCCCAACTAAATACTTTTGCAAGCAAATTGGGGAAAAAACATATGATATGCTTCAAAATTGGATTTTTTTAATTTTCCTATTTTCTTAAATTCCAAGGAAATGAGAAATTTGTATTTAAAATTGGGAATTTTTACTGCCATTTGCAGCTAACTTGGGGCCAAGTAACGGCCTCTGAGCAGGTCTTGACAAATCCCTTCCAGTGAACAAGACAGCTTGAAAATAACATACAGTCATACTATAGAATTCAAAACTTTCGTTTAATATAAAAACGTAGTCTGTGCCTTTAGACCAAGCCATTCACAATTATTTTCTCGCTCAACAAATAACAATTCATTTCAGAAAGAGATGTAACAACAAGTTCAGGAGAGTAGACTTAAAACTTGTTGACCGACAGGCTCATAGATGTGACTTAATTAAGAAAAATGTTTCTCTAAAATTAAAGCTCAACTAATAATAGCCAAATTTTGACACAAACATCTTCTGAAGATGAAGCCAACAGACCAGTTGAAGCTTTTAGTAGTCGACTCACAACATTAAACTACATTGTGTTGAAGAAAAGACAGGTTAGTCCTAATTCCACAGTATGGTGCTTGTCATATCATGTTTGTGATGCATGGATACTTTCATTAATTGTACACACCTCTCTGTTGATTTGTTTGTTGTTTAACGATACGCTCGGCAATATTCCAGCTATATGATGGCGGTCTGTAAATAATCAGGTCTGGACCAGGCAATCCAGTGATTGACAACATGAGCATCGATCCACGCAATTGGGATACGATGACATGCATTAACCAAGTCAGCGATACCACCCGATCCCATTAGACGCCTCTTACGACAAGCATAGTCGCCTTTTACGCCAAGTCCATTTCATTGATTGTAAAGCTTAGTATCAATATAGCACTTAATAATAAAATTAGTTGTTCTGTATTTGTATAGAAATCCTGCAACTAATCAACTTAATGCTAAATATGAACCAGGCTGATTCAATAAATGCATAAAATTGAATTTTCTGCTGTTACTGTCCATCATAATCTTGGTAATCTAACAAACGTATACATTACTGTGGCAGCGATTTATTCATTTGACACTGATATTCATAAATTTGTACCAATACGGTATCAGCATTACAAAAATTATTGATTGATCGGTATCATGATATACGATTACATCCCTAATTTGTAGCCTGTTTCATTGAAAGAAAAAGAAGATTTTTTTCTAAATTTGTACAAATGATCTGTATACAGTTCAACATGGTAAACATACTACGAACACAACACAGTTCTTCTAGTTCTAGTAATCAACCATTTAAGATCAAAATCATGGGCTGGACGAATCAGTCCACAACATGATGACTAAACCATCAGAGCAGCGTTAGAAATTGGCACTAGTCCTGTAGTCCTTGCCAAATTGCCCAATAGTTAAGGTATCATAAGGACTAGTAGAAGTAGAAATATGCCCTTTTTAAGGGTTTGGCTATATCTTATCACTATATGTTTCTACTGCTGCAGAGACTTCGGAAAATCAGCAATATCATTATTCAAGTTACCTGCCTGGCTTATTGCTTCCAGACAATTCATATGCCAGGGTTAAAAAATTGTATTCTTATTTCCACGAGTCAGCATAAATGATCTGCTACCAAGCTGCCACCTACCAAATAGTAAGAGTGGCAGTCTGCAAGGAGGAATCGTCACTAGTCCTTAACTGAAATTTACTGCTTTCGCTTCTTTGATAGGCATTTAGAAGTTGGAGTACAAAGGAAGGATAGGATTTATGGATGAACAACTTCTTTATTACATGTTTCGGTGTAGGTTCTAACGTTATCAAACAACTTGCTAAATAACAGTGTCAGAACCTACACCGAAACGTCGCTCTTAATTGTAATAAAGAAGTTGTCCATCCATAAATCCTATCCTCACTTTGCTGGTTTCGGACAAGCAGACATAATAGTTTTGAATTTTTATAATATACAACAAAGTCAAAGCAGCGTTTAGAATTAAGCGGATTACAGGATCCTGAGTTTTTTCAGATATAGTATTAAAATCTGAAGTCATCTAAATCTGTATCCTTTAACATACGTATTATTCTGATTTTGCTTGAGGCAAATGGCAAGAGCACATTTTCATAATTTTATGAACTTTTGATAAGACATTCTTCTATATTATTACGAAATTCGGAAACATATCTTCGGGACATTGGATACCTATCATTGTCCTGGAAAACAAACTAATCTGAAACCCTGTATTATGACAAGGCAGCAAGGACCAACTCATTCATTTCCAACACTGCTTTGTGACCTTGTGAAACATATTCAGGATAGTCCATAAAGTATTCAGGCTATATCACACTCTGTTAATACTACCATCTGGTGCAGACAAGCCTGTGAATTAAGTGTTAAGCAACATCCCTCACCATATGATGACATTCAACGAACAATGTCCCCGAGTCTGACCACCTGATCCAATTTAGTCAACTCCTTTGGAGTGTGAGTGAGCGAGTATGATTTTACGCCGCTTTTAGCAATATTCCAGCAATATCACGGCGGGGGACACCAGAAATGGGCTTCACACATTGTACCCATGTCGGGATTCGAACCCGGGTCTCCGGCGTGACAAGCGAACGCTTTAACCACTAGGCTACCCGACCGCCCCAACTCCTTTGAAAGATTTGGAAGTGGGGACCATTCCATCAAAGAATCCCCATAGGGCTTCTTAGCAGTAATAGCCACAACATTTTGTATGTCGTTCTCTATCATTCATACAATTAGGATATGAATATGACTGATATCTATGGTCTGGCTGAGCCTTGCTGTACATAGCACTACAACTATTGTATGTTCGAGAATGAGAATAAATATTAATGTTTATTTATGGGTCAACACTTTGCAGATATATTCTAAATCCATGTTAGCAAACATAACCATATTTGACATATACATGATAAGGCAAGGTGCACACTTTCATATACCAAAATCATTCAATGGAAAATGCTGACTTTGTCTATTGAGCTTTGGACATAGACGTTCTTGGTTTCATGACATTGAAATGTTCGAAACAGAAGCCGAACTGGAAGCAGTTGTTAACTTTATCCATTTGACCCCATCTTCCTGAGGCAAGGGAGTTAACTGACTTATAAGTCCAGTTTCCACCCTTGCCAAACTAGGCTGGAAGGATGGAGTTATATTTTGGTTGGTCTTTCGAGTCTATGCATAGTCCAATCAAAATTGCGTAACAGAATCCACATCCGGTTCGTAAACTGTCATGCAGACTTCGGTCGATTGCAGGATTTGCAAAGCACGTGCACCAACAACTCGGCGTCAACAGATATTTTCCAAATCTTTTCATATTTTTATTCAAGGTGCTCAAGTGACTTGATGCACTTCGCGATGTAAGACCCGTTTTATCACAATAAAGATCTTGATCATCGATCAGATCATCTTGACTGGTGGCCACCATTTTGTTTAAAGCAAATGCAAGTGATGTGAGAGGTGGAATCTGATTGGACAAAAGGAGGGACACAGAAGGTACAAAACTTGTAATGGCCACGAGTAGAAATTCCATCCTAGTTCGGCAAGGGTGGCAACTTGACTTTCATAGTCTGTGACTTGACCAATGCCACCCCCTCCACTGTATACATTACATGTGACAGCAACATAAGTATCTAAACCATTGTCTTATCCACGCACTGCACACTAAGTTCCTGTTATAGGGCATGCAGTGCCCCAGTGCAACATATGACACCATGGATAGACATGGCCACTTGTCCAAGGCCGGGGAAAATTTATAGGGACTTGTTTCTTTCATCTCAAATCTAGTTTTTTTTTACATAAACCACTTGTCTGAATTGAGCTGCGAACAAGTTGGATATGACCAATGGTGTCCAACCCTATTTAGTGTGTGAGTGAGTTGGAGTTAACACTACTTTAAACAGCCTTTCAGTTTTATCAGGGTGTTTCAGCTTTGTATGGCAAAAGCTTGAGTGAGTGAGTGAGTGAGTGAGTGAGTGAGTGAGTGAGTGAGTGAGTGAGTGAGTGAGTGAGTGAGTGAGTGAGTTTTAACGCTGCTTTTAACATTATTCCAGTTATATCAAGGCGTGTCAGCTTAATGTGGGAGGAAAGCCCGAAATGATGCAGGTCTCAGACATTAACCACTTCGGTGAAACCCACGAGCATGGGTATTGTGCTGACAAACCTAGAAACATAATCGGGGCGAACCGGGATTCGAACCCACAATCATAGGTTTCTGGTGTGCCCAAGGGATGCAACTCTGCACAAGGCTCCATTCAATAAAGCAATCTTAGCACCAAGTCCATCATAACTCCCATACTGTAGCATAGATTTACGGCAATCTTAGTGCTAAGATAGCATTTTTGAAAATTTCTCTATATCACATCCTGAAGAAAAGGTCATATTTCCTGAAGTAAAAAACTAACGTCAACTTAAACTGAACACCAGTGAATGTAATCAAGCAATGTTGTCTCCAGCAATATTCAGCAGGTAGAATTGAGTATTTAGCACGTACCGATATGGCGGTGCGCACAGCCTTGACACAATCTACCCATGTCTTGTGTTGAGATGTGCGGCTACGGAGCGATTCCATGAGGGTGGTGAGACGCCGGCGCTTGTCCCGTTCCCCTGAAACAAACCATACATTAATTACAAAACACATTCAACATTTGTACATCAAAACTTACTTCTAAACATAAATCTGCGCCAAAAACATTTGCTTCTAATTACCTAGGCTAGGAGGGTGGGGGAGAAGGGGGGGGGGGGGGGGGGGGGGGGTTAATGCGCTTCCCCTTGCACTAGGACTGGGGACCAAATTTATTACCCAGGTACCCGACCCTACCTGGGAACCCGTCTCAAGAGTTTTGTACATAATGTCCGAATGGGAATCGTTTTACTGGTGCCCTGGCAAAAACTATTTAGATACACATATAAAAACGATCTGGTCATGCATACACTGAAGTTGACAGATCCTTATCCTGACTTGAACATATAAAAGTCAGAAGGAATGCTTGCATAGTCAAAAAGAAACGTGACCATTAGCTATACTTGTGTTACCATAAAGTTTTATTCTTAATGTCATTGAACAATATATCATGTGACTAATCACGGGTAGTAGTCGTGTGGTACCTGCGTCTTCAGGACCCACCCGGCCAGAGTACCTGAGTTGCCCATCCAAGCCCTACCTTGTACCTCTGGATCCACCAGTGAATAACAATTAACATAATAACCCTTTTTTTCAGGCACCTTACATGTAATACTTGGGCAGTATATGCATCCCCCCACCCCCTTTTTAAAATCCTGCATCCTCCTGTTGTCAGCTGAGCTTATAAAACCAAATAGAATGTTACTAAATACATGTCAATGTCATTCATAGTATGTTTGCGCTTTTTCTTGTTATATGTACAGTCAGCATATATTCCAACTGATCAGCCTGGGTCAGACAAACCAGTGATTGCTTTTATGAGCTACATCCCACACTGTCAAAGATACACAATTGATCAGGCTACTGTCACGCCACCTGGTTGAACTTGGTCACTACTAACTACAAGCAATAAAGAGGACGATATATTCCAACCAGTCCCCTTATCATATCAGTGAGTGAGTTGGGGTTAACGCTGCTTTTAACAGTATTACAGTTATATCACGGCGTGTCAGCTTAATGTGGGAGGAAAGCCCCAAGTGATGCAGGTCTCGGACGTTTACCACTTTGGTGAAACCCACGAGCACGGGTATGGTGCTGACAAACCTAGAAACATTATCGGGGCCAACCGGGATTCGAACCCACAATCATAGGTTTCTGGCGGGACCAAGGGACGCAACTCTGCCATATCACTTAGTGGAGGTGAAATGAAATGGGGTTACAGTTAAACCCTGAGGTCCAGATTATTACAGCAATGCACATGCATATAGCAACTGCATACATATAGCAACTGCATGCATATAGCAACTGCATTCATATGTGTGTGTGGCTACTAGTACTAGTCCCAACAGATGCCAGTTTTACACTGCTAGCCCTCTGTGATACGACACCAGACTTCACAGACACTTCTCTACACAGTGTAATACAGACTCCAGACTGACCATTCTTTTTATCCCCTTAATGTTAAGTGCCAGGCAGGGTAACAACAAGTACCTTCTTTGAACATCTTTCGACTTGACGTGGCGGGGAACGACCAACCGACCTTCCCCTCTCCAGGCAGACACAACACCACAAACACTATCACTGTTGGGAGCACATCCAACAAGTAGCACCGGCCAAATACCACCCCAGCTCATTAGCCATGCCAAATAATCTCACAGAAACTGTGTCATCTCCTCAATAAAATAAGTCCACAGGGAAACTGGCCATTTGAAGAAACTTCACCAAAGCAGAAACAAGTTGTAAGCTCCGTCAACGGACCAGGTCATGCTGACCTGGTGTACCCAGAAAATTCATGATTTACTTGAGTGAACATATATAGACCTAATCTTCGGGTTTTCGTCGTCACAATTGTGTTTTATCACTCAAGGTATCACAACACGCCCAAATATAATACCACGCAATTAACCTTTGCACCAGGATATGAAACATTTATACCATGCTCAATACAACATGTTCAAAGGCTTTGCCTGTAGACTGTAAGCTGAATTCACACCTTATTACGGCCCAATGCGCTTAACACATGTTTTATGGCCACATTTTAGTTTATAGGTTTATAGATTAATTCAGAAATTAATTTCAGAGGTGCCCCTCCCCCCCCCAAAAGTTTAATCTCGATCTATTTCTCTTTGTATTGTCCTAGCAAACTTTGCAGTGGGTTGCTGGAAACATAATGTGCTGCCTTTGCAACTTTGAAAATTAATTGAGATTGTTGTACTTGCTAAAAGGGAATATCAGAGTTGGATTTCATGCCATATTGTTCTAAAGTTCTTTTTATAACCACTTATTCTTTTAATAACTCTTATGAAATCATAAATTGTTTCACTTCTTAACTCAGACAATTGATACATAATCGTAAATGTTCTCCCAAATATTCTAAGTCAATAATTCTGCAAGCAGTAGACTTGTTCTAGAAATGCTATCAAACATTTACCATCCTGTCACATTTCACAAAAATGCCAATCGAGAATCAGAGAATTTGAAATCGTACTTTTCTCATCCTACAAATCTATGCCTAACCCCCAAAATAAATAAACTTGAATGTGTAATTTTGTTTACATCTAAACCACTGGTCCAAGATTTGAAACAAAATATATAAGAAACTGAGCAAAAAAGATGATAGATCAATATTATCAATAGACATGACTGTCTAGACAGGGTCTGCTGGGAATAACAATAGACATCCTCAACAGCTGGCAAGAATGTAGATTTTATAGTTCCACATGATTCATGAAAACAGCCATGCTTAGAGTGCAGAACGACCAGCATGTGAAATACTGTTTCAAAATCAAGAATGAAAATCAAAGGATTGTCAAAAATATCATCTTAGAACATAAAGATTTATAGGGCCCTAACATTCTCATGTATACAGCACAGAACCTCAACTTACATGATAGCATAAAGATACATCCTGTGCCAAAACCGTTGTCCACTAGCTTGAACAGGCTTATAGCATCATCTTAAGCAGTTTTCAGTTATCATGGCATTTACCAGCAGATCTTACGGACTATACCAAACAGAATATTACTCGACTCCAGCTTGTGGCTAAAGTCACAGACTGTATAAATCATAGAAATTATTGGTTGGTTGTTGAAGGTCACTCAGAGGTATTCCAGCTATATGACAGCAGCCTGGAAATAATCTGGACCAAACTATCCAGTGATTCACATTGTGAGCAACGATCCACCCTTGGGGTACGATGACACGCCATCAACCAAATCACCAAGTTGACCACCCAATCGATTTCGTTGCCTCTTACGACTAGGGGCGGTCGGGTAGCCTAGTGGTTAAAGCGTTCGCTCGTCACGCCGAAGACCCAGGTTCGATTCCCGACATGGGTACAATGTGTGAAGTCCATTTCTGGTGTCCCTCGCCGTGATAATGCTGGAATATTGCTAAAAGTGGCGTTAAACCAACTCACTCACTCTTACGACTAGCATAGCTGGGGACCAGTTCTAACTCGGAATCTCCACAAGGTGCATCGATATGGAGATGGATTAAATATTTCTTACAATGAATCCTAGGCATGCTACTTGGTTGTTGCAAATTTCATTCATATGAATTAATTCAACAACTGTGTTTGCTATGGCTAAGCCAGATGACCTTAAAAAACAGTTATTGGTCCTCTCGTCAGACACCTACATGCAATTTGTTTGACATTTGAGTGTGCCTGCAATGTAGTCAGCCCATTCTAAAGAATGTCTGTCATGAGCAGTCATGAAAATGACCTACATATCACATACATATATAAAAGTATTGTGACAGAATCAAACTGCTTAAAATGTGGTACGACTTTCACTACAAGAGCTAAAAAGTACTCACGGTTTTCTGTCAAAATATTCATTATGTTCATACCATAATTAACACAACCAATCAAAAATAATGTCTGTTTGTTATTTTATAGTGTCACACTCAATATTCCAGCTATACATTTAGACCTGCCAAACTAGTGACTGATATCACAAGCAACAATCCATGACAACAGGTCATGATGATGATGGCAATCAACCCCAGTCACTGAGCCTGACCACCCATTCAATTAAGTCATCTTGTAGGATGTAGCATGGGTTGTTGGGTACCAATTCTAACCCATCTTCCCGAGGCAATTGACTATACAATTTCACTGACTATATAAGTCCAGGTCCCACCCTTGCCGAACTAGGCCGGAACTCAAGAGTTTTTTCATAATCCAGTCAAAATCCTGTAACGAACTAGACATCCGATTCGTAAACAACATGAATTACAATGTGCAGATTTCGATCGACTACAGGATTTGTAAAGCATGTGTACCGGCAACTCGTCGTCAACAGATATTTTGCAAATCGTTTTATGCTTTTAATCAAAGTGCTCAAGTGATTTGATGCACTTTGAGGGGGAACAATATCTTACAATATAGATCTTGATTATCGATCAGATCGTTTTGACTTGGCACCGCCATTTTGTTTGATGGAATCTGATTGGTCAAAAGGAGGGACATAGAAGGGACATAACTTGTTATAGCCACTGGTGGCGCTACAATCAAACCTGGAAATTCCAGCCTAGTTCAGTAAGGGTGGGAACAGGACTTTTATAGTCAGTTAACGCCCTTGCCTTGGGAAGATGACTCTAACCAGGAATTCACACAGAGCTGACTGATTTGAACTGTGGACTAGTTGGTTTTGGTTCATCAGCTTTCAAAAGTAATCCTAAAAACCTTTCTGTCATCTTCCTCTTAGGAAACTTGATCGAGATAAACATTACTTGACTCAGACTGTGGACCAGCAACTAAAGTCTCCAACTGTAAAGATGGTAATTATACAGAATATGGAGGCACATTTCCAAATGAAACACACAGACACAAACACTTAAACATTCAGGATGTGAAATTTCACAAACAGTTTAAAGCAGGAAGTTGTCAACATAATTATCCAGGTCACACTCAAACTAAAGGTTTGTGCACTTTTCATCACAACAACACTAAAAAATCTTACGATACACTTTCCATCAA